GTCAGAATCATGATAGTATAAATATAATACTCATTTGGTTTATCATTTAAAAACATTTACTTTTGAAATTATAGACTCAGAAAGGATTGCAAAAATAGTACATAAAGTTTTATGAGCCCTTCACCCAGCTTCTCCAGTAGTGACATCTTACAAACTTTAGGACAATATTAATACTTGGAAGATGACATTGACTGTGCTATAACACTGTTATCTAGAATACAGATCTACTCAGTTTTCACATGCACTCGTGTGTGTGTGTGTGTGTGTGTGTGTGTGTGTATGTGTGTAGTTCAATGAAATTTGATCCCGTGTGTAAATTTAATAAAAACATAGAACTGCTCCTTCACCACAAAGGAACTTCTTTAATAGTTATCGCTGCCCCTGGTCCCATTCCTATCTGTCCTCTGACAACTACTGATTTGGTCTCCATCTCAGCTTTGTTATTTTGAGAGTATTATATAAATGGAGTGTTATATTCATTTACAGGAATAATTTAGATTACATCTAAATGTAATCTTTTGAGATTGGCGTTTTTTCAGAAAGCATAATGCCCTGATATCCATCCAAGTTGTTACATAGATAAATAATTATTTCTTTTCAGTATTGAGTATGAAATCAATAAAAACATATTTTAAAAAAACACACACCAGTAACTTGTATAAAATAGAATTCTTACAAACCTGCTGATCAAATGCTGAAAATGAGAATTTATAAATAGTAACAACATAAGTTCAGGGTGAAAGGGGATTACAAATTGGGTATTATAGTATTTAAAAACATATATATTTTTATTGATTTCAGAGGATGGGAGAGGGAGAGAGAGATAGAAACATCAATGATGAGAGAGAATCATTGATTGGCTGTCTCCTTTACTCCCACTACTGGGGATTGAGCCTGCAACATGTGCCCTTGACTGGAATGGAACCTGAGACCCTTCAGTCCTCAGGCTAAAAGCTCTATCTACTGAGCCAAACCAGGTAGGGCTTAAGAAGTAAAAACAATGAAAACACTACATGTCAGACTGTAGTGAATGCATTTAAGGCAGATATCAGAGCAAAATTTATTAGCTAAATGTTTTTATCAATAAAAAAAATAAATGAATTAAATTTCAAGCTAAAAAATCAGCAAAAGAACAATAAAGTAAGCAGAATAAATCACAACGAATGAAATAATAAAGATAAAAGTAGAAATTAAGAATGAAATAAATGGTACTAGGAAGATTGGATAGGTACATGCAAAAAAATGAAAGTAGGCCACCAACTTACACCACACATAAGAATAAACTCAAAATAGGTAAAAGACTTAAATGTAAGTCATCCTACCTAATAAAAGAGTCACCAATCTGGCTCAAACCATGCCCACCAGCCACACCCACCAGCTAATCAGAGAGAAAATGCAAATTAACCCCACCCAACAGAAACTATGCAGACCAGAAGGGAGTGGCAAGAAATATTCAAAGTGATGAACAGCAAGAACCTACAACCAAGATTACTCAGCAAAGCTATTATTCAAAACTGAAGGTCAGATAAAGAGCTTCACAGATAAGAAAAAGTTAAAGGAGTTCATCACCACCAAACCAGGATTACATGAAAATGCTGAAGGGTATTCTCTAAGAAGAGGAAGAAGAAGAAAAAGGTAAAGATAAAAATTATGAACAACAAAAAGACATCAAATACATACCTACCAACAGTGAATCTAAAAATCTAGTGAATAAAAAATCTGAAGAACAAAATGGACTGGTGAATATAATAGAATCAGGGACATAGAAAGGGAGTGGACTAACAATTCTCAGGGGAAAGGAGGTTTGAGATGTGTGGGAAGAGAGTGGACAAAAATGTCACACCTATGGATGAAGACAGTGACGGGGGTAAGGGCATGGGGTGGGATGGGGAGTCAGGTGGAGGGGAGCTATGGGGGGTGGGGGAAAGAGGAACACCTGTAATAATCTGAACAATAAAGATTTATTATTTTTTTGAAAAGCTAGAAACATTGATGAGAAACATTGATCAGCTGCCTCTTGCACATACCCTACAGCAAAACTCATCAATTTGTACATTTAAAATGTGTACATTTGCTCAGCTGGCGTGGCTCAGTGGTTCAATATTGACCTATGAACCATGATGTCATGGTTTGATTTCCAGTCATGGCACATGTCCATGTTGCTGGCTTGATACCCAGTGTGAGATGTGCAGGAGGTAGCTAATCAGTGATTATCTCTCATCATTGATGTTTCTATCTCTTTGTCCCCTTCCCTTTCTTTTTGAAATAAAAAAAATATGTATTTAAAAATGTGCACATTTTATTGCATATAAAGGTTATCTCAATAGTCCTGGCCAGGTAGCTCAGTTTGTTAGAACATCATCCCAATGTGGTTTGATCCCAATGTGGCATGAAAAAAAAAAAAAAGGATTGTAGGTATATCTCAATAAAAAAAAAAATTGAGACAAGAAAGAGAAAAATATCTAAATGGGATAATGACTGATTAATTAAATAACCAATATAACAATGAAGAGAAATACTATAGTGTAGCACAAACATGTCAAACTTTCAGCCTGAGGGCTGCATGTGGCTCACAATGAATATTTTTGTGTCCCAGCAAATATAACAGTATGTAAAAAACATTTTAATAAAAATTTTGTGTAACTTAATTTTTACAATATCCTGTTATACATAACTATTGGTCTGGTGCATGAATTAGTCCACATAGAAATAAAATTAATTAGAAGAAATATTTTAATATCATTATTCACCCTTTCTCTATAATAGAAGTGTCAACCAAATTCACAATTGATAATGACAGATTGAAATACACATGTGTAATTGGCGCCAGTGAGAGTTTTATATGTATCTTGCATGCGCAAGTCAACTTAACCTTTTATAGATATAAAATAAACTTGCTTAATTAGACCTTTCTGATTTAGCTAAATTTTTTCCAGCCAAGGGAAGCACCCCAACTTTTCTTTCAGGTAATTGTTAGCAACACAGCAGTAAATATCAGCACAAAGCAGATTATTATTATAGATCACACAGGGAGAACAAAGGGTAAAATATTTAACTGCAGCAGTGTTTGACTATATCCTGTGCAGTGAGAAAACCTGAAGTTATTTTCAAGGTTCACTATTTCTTACTTCTTTTCAGTCAGGTCAAGTTTCTAAAATTTCTAAATCTCTGTTGTCTGACTAATGAAAAGAAAATAGGATTCCACCAAGTCTCCTATATACCTACTCCAGGACTTCTGTAAGGATCAAGTGAGATGAGGCATGGGAAAATGCTTCACAGACATTTGGTTGAAGTATAAAATGTTTGCACCTGGCTGTAAAGCAAGCATGTTCTTGGGCTGAAGGAACTCCAAGGAGGTTAGTCACTAGGGAGGGAAAGCCCGTTGTTGCTACGAGACCTAGCGCCCAGAGCGAAAGTTTCTGGGCTGGGCTGGGCTGTGGGCTGCATTTTGTGCCATGTGGTCTTGGTAGCATTGGCTGCAATTTGCTGGGTGGTTGCTCAGAGGTGGTGGTGAGGCCTGTGTCCCACTTGGGAGAAGCCGAGTGTTGCTTTGTAGGTACCAGGTTTGTGGTGCCGTTTCTTTGTAAATGGCCAGTATGCATCATGGCAGCTTCTGCATTGAGTGTCTGCCCCCTGGTAGTCAGTGTGCATCATAGCTACTGGTTGGGCCATCAGATTCTTAGTATATTAGCCTTTTATATAAGTGGATTATTAATAATGAATTACAACATTCACTAATGACTGATTTGGCTAATGACTGATTACTATAATTGTGTTGCATTTTATTTCCCTTACATGCAGGTGCACCATTTCTCTCCACTAATACTAGCAGCGAATATTTTAGCAGCTGATTGCCATATCATTAGTCCTATACTGACTTATTTGGTGTGTGCAACAGGAAATATTTTGCTTTTGGAGAACAAGAAAAATAGTTTTATTTGTGTTACGTTTATTAATTTGTGCAGTTATTCAGTGTCTTGTATATTAATGTTCAAGAAAAAATATTAATTTCTATTAAAAATGTTCTATTATTTTATGCTAATGATTATCATTTATTTTAGTCCTTTGTATTCAGCATGTCTGTATTGAAATAAACCTATGTTTCTGTGAAAATTGAAGCTTTTGTTTTTTTGCAACCCATATAAATTCAAACCTTGTTTATTTGACCCCTGTTAGCCTTTGAGTTTGACATGCTTGATGTAGCAGAGTGGTTGGCAAACTGTGGCTTGCGAGTCACATGCAGCTCTTTGGCCCCTTGAGTTTTTAGCAAAGGCCAGCTTAGGAGTACCCTAATTAAGTTAAGAATGTACATACCTATATAGTTTAAGTTTAAAAATTTTGGCTCTCAAAAGAAATTTCCATCATTGTACTGTTGATATTTGGCTCTTTTGACTAATGAGTTTGCCGACTGCTAGTGTAGCACATACTCAAATGCCACATGAGAGTTAGAGATAAAAGGAGAAATCCCTGGGAGCCTAGTGGTTATTATTCTGTGTAGTATTTGGGAAGGCAGAGAAGAGGATGACAGCATCGCAGCCAGTGAAATGGTGAGGACAGAGGCTGAGAAGTGGGCAAGAACAAGGCATATTCAGGGGAAGTCAGTCAGGTGACTTGTAGAGCATTTCAGATGTGACATGCTAAGTCTTGAGGAAGAATGGCGCTGGATAGCTGGGAAAGCTGTGATCAAATCAGGGATAAGAGAACCAGTTGGAGGAGTAAAAAATAACTGGGATGTTGGTCCTGGTTAATTGGTTAAAAAATAGAGAAGTGAAGGAACAGGGCAAGGTTTTTTGGAGATAGTACATAATTATAAATCAATTAAAATATCGTTTATTTTTTCATCTAAATTAATCCAGAATAACCTCTTTTGTAGAAATGAAATCATGTTTTACATTTAATCACACTTTACAATGTAAAATGAAGTATAAGAAAATACTGTGTTGTCATGAAAATATAATGTTGCCATCTTTTGTATGTATGTGTGTTTTCTTTTCTTTCAGATTCCAGTATAGTTAGTGATGTTGTACTTCAAGACTTACTGGCATACGTATCTTCAAAGCATTCCTATCTCCGAGACCTCCGTCCACGGCCGCCCCAGGAAGTGAGCAATGTGGAGTTTGTGGCTCTGGAGCAGCTCCAGCCCGGTCTGCTAGTCCATGCGCTGCTCAGAGTGGTGGATGTCACTGTACTGACAGGTGATCATTTGGAGCAATTCCTTAATTGTAGATTCTAAAATAAGATGCAAGACCTTAGTATACAATTTGGTTATCATTATATATTTATCACTAGACATTATAAATAAAACAGTCCTTTTCCCCCAGAGGCGGTATATAGTTATAGAGGACAGAAGCAAAGGAAAGTTCTGTTAACAGTGGAACAGGTCCAAGGTCAACATTATGTGCTTGTGTTATGGGGTCGTGGAGCAACCTGGTACCCTCAACTTCAAAGGAAAAAAGGTAAATACAACAAAAAGCTTTAATCTACTTACAGTTATGTAAATGGTTAATGAGTATGAGCCTAAGTGAGAATCTTAAGAGGTTAGATTACATTTGAAATGAGATTATGATTGAATATTTTTCTGTTACAATTTTATACCTCCTGTAAGCAAATCAGTAATCCAAAAAGTCCTCTATAATTAACAGTAGTAAAAGAAAAGCTTCCACTTATTTCTAAATATACTATTTTACCATTTAAGTGGAGGTTTGATCTCCTTCAGAGATGTTCCTTAAAATTTTAATTCTGGAGAAGCTTCTACAACTTTTATTCAGCAAAAGTCCTCTGCTAAATAAACCTCTCTCTGGTATAGGTTGATGTTCAACCACTTAGCCATGCTGGCCAGGCTATACCAATTATATTAAACTAGGGGTCCAGTGCATGAATTTGTGCACCTTGAAAGGAACTGTGGGCTGCAAGGCTGTGGTAGGCACAGGGATGGGTCTTGGCTCATCACCTGTGTCCCAACCCGGCCCCTCCTGACCTGGCCCCCCGTCTCCTGCCTGTGATTGGGGCTGGTGCCAGCAGCGGGTGCGAGCGGGGCTGGTGCAGTCAGTAGGTACAAGTGGAGGAGAAGCCACTCACACCTGCTGATAGCGCTAAGAGATTGGGACCAGCGCTGGGCACGGGCAGCAGGTGCAAGCGGGACTGGTGCTGGCAGTGGGTGCAAGGGTTGGCTCTGGCGTTAGAGCGAGTGTGAGTGGGGCCATTGCCAATAGCAGGTGTGAGCAGCGGCTGCCAGCTTTGACCTCCCCTCAGGAGCAGGGGGAGGTGGAGAAGCCCTGAGGGGAGATCAGGGCCAGCTCTCCTTGCACCCACTGATGTCACCAAGCGATTGGGGACGGTGTTGGGCACCAGCAGCGGGTGTGAGCAGTGGCTCCAGCGCCAGCTGCAGGTGTGAGCAGGGCAGGTGCTGGCAGCAGGTGTGAGCACCAGGTGGGACCACAGCATGTGGGAACAAAGAATTTTCATTAACCACCAGAGGCTTGTCCCCATGACAGCAATGGGTTCCCTGCCTTGGTGTGGTGCCCCCACTCACCTGCTCCACCATCCTGCCATGCCCAACACCTGCCATGTTCCGCACATGCCCCTTGGTGGTCAGCACACATCATAGTGTCTGGTTGTTCAGTTGTTCCAGTTGTTCCACCATTTGGTCCTTCATTAGCCTTTTATTATATAGGATGTGTAGATTACTAGCTATCCATAGAATGTTTATGTTTAAAATATGATCCATGATTACATTTTTCTTTACGGTACAAATTAATCTATCATGTATTGAATAAGTGGAATTGATGTTTTAATAAAATAGTACATTTTCCTTTTGGATATTGTGTCATCCTTTAGTTGTAACAGTCAGAGATAATGTAATAAGTGGCTCATGAGTAATTTTACCCTGATAAACTAATTCAGAGACTAAGTATGTGAACATTCTATTTACCTGAATATCTCTTCCCAAACTTTTACCTACAAAATAGTTACCTAAAGATAGAATCTGTCACATTGTCTCCCTTAATCATTAATAGCCTACAACTAAGATTTGAGATAAGTCTGACTTTTGGCTTTTATGTTATGATCAAACAGTGACAAACATTTGTTTAGTTGAGAAATAGGATAAACATATGTCAATGATAGATTAACTTTCATTATTGACCACTGTTTCATTGCCAGAACATGAGTCTAATGCATGCTGATCAAAATGTAGGCCAGAGGTGTTATTCCAGTTCTAATGAAGCTATAATAAAGCAGATTGCTCCATGCTTAATGGGAATATTCTCTTAAAATGAATAGCTATTGGGCTAATAGAAGAGGAAGTATAGTTTACTCTAGATAATTCTATGGTATTTAGGTTAATACTGAAAATCTATGAATCAAAGCATAAAGATGTACTTGTTCTTTATTCATTTGTTCAACATACTTATAACCCATGATTTTTAAAAAATCCACCTTTATTGTTGAAACTAGAGGCCCAGTGCATGAAATTTGTACAATGGGGTGGGGAAGGATGTCCCTCAAACCAGCCTGCACCCTCTTCAATCTGGGACCCTTCGGGGGATGTCCTACTGCTTGTTTAGGCCTAATCCCTGTGGAAAACCAGCAGTCGGACATCGCTCTCACAATTCAGGACTGCTGGCTCCTAACTGCTCGCCTGCCTGCCTTCTTGATGACCTTAACTGCTTCTGCTTGCCAGCCTGCTCACCCCTAACCTCTCCCCTGCCAGTCTGACCGATGCCTAACTGCTCCCCTGATGGTCTGATTGTCCCTAATTGTCCTCACCTGCCAGCCCAGTCCCCCACAACTACCCTCCCCTGTCAACTCAGTTGCCCCTAAGTTCCCTTCCCTGCTGGCCCAGTCACCCCTAACTGCCTTCCCTTTCAGGCTCAGTCACCCCCAACTGCCCTCCCCTGCTGGCCCGGTTGCCCCCAACTGCCCTTCCCTGTAGGTTCAACCACCCCAACTGCCCTGTTCTGCAGGCCTGGTCGCCCCCTACTGTCCTCCCCTACTGGCCCGTTGCCCCCAACTGCACTCTCCTTCAGGCTTGGTCATCCCCAACTGCTCTCCTCTGCTGGCTTGGTTGCCCCTAACTGCCTTCCCCTGCAGGTCTGGTTGCCCCTAACTGCCCTCCCCTGCCAGCCATCTTGTGGTGGCCATCTTGTGATCACATGGGGGTGGCCATCTTCTGTGAGAGTGTGATGATCAATTTGCATATTACTTCTTTCTTATATAGGATAATTACAGATGCCCCCTCCTTTTTTCCCCCCAGTGACCTCTTCCTTCTCCCCACTCCTGTGCCCTCCTCAGGCCTTTATCCCACTATTGTCCCATGGATTATGCATATATGCGTATAAGTTCTTTGGTTGATCTCTTTCCACTCTTCCCCTTCTCTCTAAGAATCCTCAACCTGTTGCATGCCTCCATGTCTCTGGCTCTATTTTGTTCTTCAGTTTATTTTGCTCATGAGATTCCACATATGTGAGATCATGTGATATTTGTCTTTCTCTGACTGGCTTATTTTACTTAGCATAATACTCTCCAGGTACCTCCAGGCTACCTTAAAGGGTAAGAGATCCTTCATTTTACTGCTACAAAGTATTTCATGGTGTAAATGTGCCACAGTTTTTTATCCACTCATCTACTGATGGCCATTTGGGCTGTTTGCAGATCTTAGCTATAGTAAACTGTGCTGCTATGAACATATAATACATTCTTTTTGATTGATGTTTTGGGCTTCTTAGGATATATTTCCTAGAAATGGGATCACTGAGTCAAATGGGGGTTCCATTTTTAATTTTTTTGAAGAAACTCCATACTGTTTTCCATAGTGCCTGCACCAGTCTGCATTCCTACCAGCAGTGTACTATGGTTCCTTTTTAGGCACTTGTCATTTGTTGATTTATTGATGGCAGCCATTTGGCAGGTGTTGTTTTCATTTGCATGCCTCTGATGATTAGTGATATTGAGTATTTATATTTGTTTCTTGGCCATATTTCTTAATTGGATTGTTTATCTTCCTTTTGTTGAGTTATATGAGTACTTTATATATTTTGGAAATTAACCCCTTATTAGATATATCATTGGCAAATATGTTCTCCCATACATTAGGTTCCCTTTCATTTTGATGCTGGTTATTTTGCTGTGCAGAAGCTTTTTATTTTGATGTAGTCCCATTTGTATATATATTTTTTTCTTTGTTGTGCTAGTATCAGTGAAAATTCTGCTATGTGAAATGTCTGAGATTTTGCTGCCTATATTTTCTTCTAGGATTTGTATAGTTTTACAACTTACATTTAAGGTTGTTTTTTTTTTCTTCCAATTTGAGTTTATTCTTGTGTATGGTTTGTTGGTGGTATAGTTTGTTTCTTTTTTCTTCCAATTTGAGTTTATTCTTGTGTATGGTAAGTTGGTGGTATAGTTTGTTTCTTTTTCTTTTTTGGGGGGCATGTATCTGTTTAATTTTCCCAATACCATTTATTGAAGAGACAGGCTTTACTCTCTTGTATGATCTTGTCTTGCTTCCTTTGTCAAATATTAATTGAGCATAATGGCTTGAGTCTATTTCTGGATTCTCTGTTCTGTTCCAATGGTCTATTTGCCTGTTCTTGTGCCAGTAGTGGCTTTGTAGTATAGCTTGATATCCGATGTTGTGATCTTTTCAACTTTTTCATCTTTCTTAAGAATGCTGTGATGACTTGAGGTCTTTTTTGGTTCCATATAAATTTTGGGGGGATTTATTCTAGCTCTGTGACATATGCCATTGGTATTTTAATAGAAATTGCATTGAAGCTATAGATTGCTTTGTGTAGCATGGACATTTTAATGATGTCAATTCTACCAATCCATGAACATGGTATATTCTTCTACTTTATATCTTCTATCTCTTCTATCTCTTTTTAAAACATTCTATAGTTTTCCAAGTACAGGTCTTTTACCACCTTGGTTATATTTATTCCTAAGTATCTTATTTTTGTTGTTGTAATGGTAAATGGGATTGCTTGTTTACTTTCTCTTTCTAAGAGTTCATTGTTGGTATATAAAAATGCCAATGATTTTAGGGTGTTAATTTTATATCATTCCTGAGAGTTTGTATAAAAAATGTGTTGGATTTTGTGGAATGCTTTTTCTGCATCTAGTAATATGATCATGTGATTATTGTCTTTCAGTTCGTTTATCTGATATATCATGTTTATTGATTTGCAAATATTGTACCAGCCTTGCATCCCTGGAACAAATTCTACTTGTTCATGGTGTATGATATTTGTAATATTTTGCTGGATCCAATTTGCTAATATTTTGTTGAGAATTTTAGCATCTATCTTTATCAGGGATATTGGCCTGTAGTTCTCTTTCATTCGTCTTATTTGGTTTTGGTATTAGGATAATACTGGCTTCATGAAAAGAGCTTAGAAGTGTTTCTTTCTCTTGGATTTTTAAAATTAGTTTGAGAATGATAAATGCTAGTTCTTTT